TCTGCAGGTGTATCTGCAGGTGTATCTGCTGGTGTGTGTGCAGGTGTGTGTGCAGGTGTATCTGCAGATGTGTCTGCAGGTGTGTCTCCAAGGCCTCCTCCGTCATCTATAAGCTGAAAGCAGAGGTTGTCTTGACCTTGTCTCTGTCTGATAAGTATTATTAAAAGGCACTTCTTTATACTGTCCATGGACAGACCTTGCGACCGCAGCTTCAAAGTAACATCTGTGTAAGCCTGGGTTTGAACTCTGCCCCTTGTAAGTAAACTAAGTTGAAAAATACCAAAGTTCATGCTCATTATTCCAGGTATAATTCCAACAATGTTCAGTCAGATCATCTGGATGGTTTCTTTTGTTGCTGAGATATTTTGTCCTTCATCCAAAGGCCTTCTTAAGTCTGAGGAGCCACCAAACAAAACTGAATCTCACAAACAGCTCACAGACAAGAGGTGCGTTTAAGAAAAAAAGAGAGCAGAGAAAAGTTGGTCAGTCAGTTCAGGTGGAAGAGGAACATGGTCGTCAAGCCCTGAAGACTTGGATCAGATCTGAAGATTTAAGAGAGAAGATTTTGGCTACAGAAGAGCTGAAGAAACAAGAGCAGAGGATGAAAACTAGAAACAATGAAGAACCGCTCAGCAGCATATGATCGCCCTTCAGGAGGACTTCAGTCTCTGATTGGAATTACCGTATTTTCTGCCGTACATGTCACACCGCCGTATAAGTCACATCAGTCTAAATATGTCTAATAAAGTGGACAAAAACATAAAAACGTAGCTTCGCTGTATAATTCGCATCTATTATGCATCATCGCTGATGCGTCACGTTTGTTACACGCCACCACTTACAACCCGGAAATGTGTTGTGCCAAAAATTGACTGACTGCCAAATGGTGGCCGCAGGAGCATACACAGGAGGGCTTTAACAAGAATGTAACAAGATTAACACTTCAAAACAATTATTTGCTTGCTCATAATTATAGTGAAGGTGTGTCTCAATCTAACTTTTTCTTAATAAATGCACTTTGACTGTCAAATCAGCTGCATTTCAAAAGCCGATACGTGGAAGCAGGAGCGCACAGAGGGGCAACTGGCTGTGCATTTCTTTGAAATTTAACAAGATAACCACATAAAAACAATTATTTGTTTGCTTGAAATTCTAGAAAAGGTGTGTCCTAGTTGAACTTTTCCTTAATATATGCACTTTAACGGTCAAATCAGTTGTATTTCAAAAGCTGATTTGCAGCTGTGGGAGTAGGCAGAGGGACAACTCGCTGTGCTTTTCTTCGACTTTTAACAAGATAACCACCTAAAAACAATTATTTGTTTGCTCGAAATTATAGCAAAAGTTTGTTTCAGCTGTACTTTTCTTTAATAAATGCACTTTTTGGTCAAATCAGCTGCATTTCGTCTGGGCGATGCAGCAAAATGCAGCTGATTTAACGTTTGCTCCAGAAGTTCTGGAGCGAGACAAAGGTGGCCTGTATGGTAAGTCAAGTGTCTCATTAATAGTCACTTTTACCTATTAATGAGACTCTTGGCTTGCCATATTTGTTCAGGGCCCTCTAGTGGCTGCAAATGGTAGTGTTCAATATTTTCCAGGTGAGAATGAATGAAATTGTCAAATTTCAGCCAAAAATGGGGTTATAAATATGGGATAAAACAGAAATGAGTCACTTTGGCGTTATAAGTCGCAGGGTATGCAAATTAGGTAAAATGTTGTGACTTATACGCCAGAAAATATGGTAATTACATTTGATGACTATTGTCAACAAAGGCTGTAAGAATTATTCTCCTTTTTCCTGGAAAACCGATCCAATCATGAGATATATGGTATAACCAGCCCTTTTGGACCATTCACCGCGGTGAACTTGGGTCATGACTACTAGACCCTAGGAGCTGTGAGATGAAATAGAGGTGTGTCCCGCAGATGAAGGTTGTTAGTGCCTGGTCCAATCTCTCTCGAACGCAGCCTAAGAAGCCCTGACTGTAGTATGTTTGGGTAATACTCAGGAGTCTAGGAGGCTCCAATTAGACGAGGCCTGGAAGGGTGCTCAACCCTGAGACAAAAACACTTTCAAAGTGCAGTTCTGCAGAAAGAATAGCAACAATTTAATTGTAGTAGCTAACTCTTTGAGCAATTTCAATTTGCAGTAAGAGTTTAACTTTGACCAGACTGGTTCCAGTGAAGCGGAGACAAATGAAAAATGGACTGCTGCCATCTTTTCCTCACAACTATTCATGTTAAAGATATACATGTCAGTTTAGTTCATTACATACAATTTTAGACTGATTTTCAATTAGGCAGCAAGCTGTAGCACTTCCAGTGTAGCCAGGGACACTTCCAGTAGAAATATGAAAATGTTTTTTATATTTACTTTCAATTACAGAGTAATGCAAAACTGATGTTACTGTAAGTTTTTAATAAATACAGTTTTTGCTTTGGGGGCTTTGGGCTCCATAGGAGCTGCTGGTTCTCACAATGTAGTATGTGTTGTTAACAAAGATAATAAGGTAACAAATACAAATACACGGACACACTCGCACCCCTTGTGTGTGTGTTTCAAGTTCCCCAGGTGATGTAGAACTAATTGGCAACCAGTGGTCACCAGTGGAGTTTATTTAAAGACTACCTCCATATTTCTTCCCATATATTAAATTTGGTTTCTGTGGAAACAAAGCATTTAAAGTCCTGATTCATGCTCAATAACCCAGGTACATGAATTTTACAAAGTTGAGACAGGTCCTCTGGTTTGTTTAAACGTTTCGTCTTTGATCCTAAATACTTTTTAAGTCTAAGGAGCTGCAACAAGCTCAGCAACAAATATCATCAGGCCAGGACTGTGGTCTACACTCACATGAAGGCCAGCGGTCACTCTTTCAGGGATGAAGATGTGCACATCCTTTAAAGAGAGGAACATTGGCTTTAGAGAAGAAAAGGAAGCCATATTTGTGAAAAGAACCTATGTGTTTTTTAACATGGGCTGAGGCCTACATGTTCATGTGCCACCCTCTTACAATGCTGTTGCATCACTCAGCACTCGGCCAATAGGGCACTAACAAACAATTGTTGGGCTGATGGACCTCTTTTTGCAAATATGTCACCAGACAAACTGGTTGATCCACTATGAAAAGGTACTATTTATAAGATTGAGTTTATTGCAGCTCCTCAGACTGAATAAATCTTTTGAATAAAAGATGAAATATTTCAACAAAGAAGAATCCATCCAGAGGACCTGACTCAACCTTGTTAGAAAGCATTTTAATCTAATCCTGCAGGCTGCTCCTTTGTTGTTGTGGTCTTTGAGCCAGGCCTTATCAGTCTGTGAAGGTAAACACAGCAGAGATTCATGATCCAGGCTTGATTCCATAGTGATCTGACTGGATGCAAACATGTCAGACTTGCTTTGAACTTCACAATAAGAGATCTGTGACATTATTACAAGAATTTGCCTTTTTTTTAGGACTTGGACGGACTTGATATAAGACAAATCATAGGTCATGTGCCTGGATGATATGAAATGTTGCCATAAGAAAAAATTAAATATTATCAAAAGATAGACTATTAGATAAAATAGCGTACTTGGACTTGATACATACAGTAGTTCGTTTCAACCAGGGGTGTCAAGCTCACTTACAAAAGGGGTCCAAAATTAAAACATTTTTCAAAGAGTCGGTTTCAGAATCTACATTAACTCAAGTTAGATACTCAACATCTTTTCTTGTCACAAGTTCCTCAGCAAGAGTTTGATTGCTCTCATTTGATGTTTTCTGTTGTGCTTTCGACATCATAATCAAAGATTAATGAAAAAAATAGAGATAGAAGTATTTTAAGTTTCACATATCATCTTGGGGGCCAGATAAGATTTCAACAATGGTCACATTTGGCCTCCGGGCCTTGAGTTTGACACATATGGTTTAAACAAAAGCATCTGCTTTTGTAAAGTAAAAAGTTGTTTACTTTAAATACTGCAATTAGAAGTAGTTCCAAAGTGTGACGCAAAATTATACTTTTAAATAAAAATCCAAGTTTTCTCTAAGTGCTGTTTTATGCTCATTTCAGCAGAAAAAAAAAAGGTTTTCCTCATTTAGTACAAACAGTATCTAGATGGGGTTTTTTTTTGCCCAGTTTAATGTTGGTTTGTGATAAATTTTATAGAAAAATAAAATACTCCACAGAGAAACTCTACTACACTGAAGCAGCCCCCACCCCCACCCCTTATATTGTAAGTGAATATGTCTTTACTCTTTAAAAGTCCACAGTTTCCTCAGTAGAAACATCTTCTGCTGCTCTGTAGCACAAAGTTCATGAGGTGGATCCAGGTCTCTAGACTAGTCACACCCACATACAGTATTTGTTTAATGATGTTTGGTTTGTGGCTCCATTATAACTTGTCCATGTAGCTCCAAATATAACTTCCTGGTTTTGTTGTGTCAAGAAGAGGACAAGTCTGTCTCACGTCTGAATTCTGTTTAATAAAATCAATGATTTAATTACATAAATTATTCTGCTGAACACTTGGGGACAAATTTAACCAGTTCCTTTTACTTATGTAAATGATTGATATCTTTGATCATGATAAGAGACGGGTTAATATAAAACTGTATTAAATACTGAAAGAGAAGAAACTAAAAAGTAATTTCACTCCATCAAAGAGGAGGAAATCATAGACAGAATAGTGTGATTTTTTTTTAAAATTCACAGATATAAATTGAATGTAGAAGAAAAATATACATTTTAATAATCAGTTTCAAAAATATAAGTGTTGTGAGGAATACAGTGACGTTTGGATGAAATAGTTGATTTATCGTTTGAGCGTCAACATTTAAAAAAAAGGTGAACTGCCCCATCAAGTGGTGGATCTGTGCCGTTTGTAACAGATTTTTAAAATACTTTTTTCAATTTCATCTCTTCAGTTGCAGACATCAATGTCACTTTAGACTGGTTTGGTAGTCTTTATTTCTTTCTTTATTGTTTCTTATCATATAAGGCAAAATATTTATTAAATAAGACTATCAGTACTTGCAGGAATCTACACTGCTCCTAGCACTGCATCTGTTGGGACTCAGAGTTTATGTTGAGGATGAGGTGTACAAATATAAAAGACTGGCTGAGTTGTGAGTAGTCCAGGTTCTTCCTCCTGATAGTGATGTATCCTGAATATTCACTTGGTTTCTGGTTCACACCTTAAAAGATTAATTAGCTTGTCTCTATTTTGAAGAGCTTAAGAAATTAATATTACATACTTCTTAAATAATGGGGTAATGTTTCTAATTTGTTTCTTTTTACTTGTTTACTTTTGTATTGGTATTTATTGTCTGGAGGTACTGCAGATGAAAATTAGCTCAAGGTTAAATCTGGTGCAGTGCATCAAACATTTTCTTTTACATTTATGTTATAATTTTACACTGTCCCGATTAGACTAATTGAATTTTATTCCATTTTTTTTAAATCAAGCAATATAAACATGCTCTTAAAAAAAGTTTGTTTCTTAATCATAGATTATTTCTGAAATATAAAGTTTTTAATTTTAGCAAACATGCTATAAACATTTTATTAAAGACACTTCATCAACAAAAGGAGAATCATTGCTTTCTTACTTTCTGATTACTTGTCAAACAGAGAGTTTATATTAGACTTTTCAGGAGTACACACATATTTCTGCAAAACAACCTGAGAGAAGAGTTTTACAAAGCAGATTCCTACTTTCACTTCATCATTACACAATTACATCAGCCACAAGTTATCACATTGGATGACAGGAGGAAACGTAAAGGGAAAATTAGGAAACAGTAATGAATAGCAAGTATCTTACCTGCAGGAAGCAGACGTCAGTACAGTAACCTCACATTGGAAGAACACACATAGTTTTGTCCCTAGAGTCGAGATAAAAGAAAATCAGAAGACCGTAGTGTGTTTCAGACTCAAACTTCATGATTTTCAAAGCAGTTTTTAATATATATATATATAAATATAAAATGGTTGATATGTCTATATTTACATATATCAATCATGAATGCAGTACTCCCTACTACCTTGTGCTTATGCATATTTGTCTTGTTCAAATTTGTGTTCTGCTTCTTTTCATTATTTCATATGCATTTTTTGTATAATTAGCAAACACTTCTGGATGCCTCGAATCCTGCCCCCCGGGAGTAATAAAGTATTTATGTATCTCTGTCTCAAAGATCCGGTCTGTGGACAGCTATCCTGACATTTTTTTTTTTTTTTGCATTTCTTAGGAACAATGCAAATTCGAAAGTAATTATTGTAAAAAAAAAAAAAAAACCAAACAAACAAAAAAACGAGCATCACATCATATTGTTCTGTGTGTGTGGGTGTGTGGGTGTGTGTATTTGTGTGGATGTGTGTTTGTTCTATATCTGTGGTATTAGCAAAACTTCACCATGAACCACAGGACAAATTCTAATGAAACTCTAAAAGTAATCATTGTATGAAATTCTACAACTGATTAACTTTTGGTCTCGGCCCAACTTAGGCTTGCTGCCACCGCCAAATGACATTTGGTAAACCAAATATAGTTATAATTCAGCTATTCATCCAGTTATAGAGTTATGAGCTGACACAATGACACAATGGTGGGAGTTTCCAGCTGATGCTGTTATAAATAATCCGAGTTTAAACTGAACTCAAGACCATTCAGAAGTCAGGTAAGAAGAAAATGCTTCTGTAGTAGCTGTTTAAATAAATTAACAATTTAACAGTTTATTTTAATCCTTCAAGACATTTAAAACAATATTTTTAGGTGGAGGTTTTCCTTGTTTAATCATCTACTATGCTTTTTTTTTTGCTGCAAGAGAAAAGCTGATTTGGCATCCTTGCTGCAGTGCATGGCTATTTTCAGGTTGTTTTTGGGTGACTCCTAACAATTAACTAAATTGGAGCAGGTAATGATCATTAAACTGGTTTTTACAGACCAGTTGAGGTGAAGCAGTTCATGTAATGTAGGTTTTTCTTCAGGACAGTTGGGCAGGACTGCATTTATTTTTACATTTCATTTAGTTACAACTGTCTATAAACTGAGGGAAAACTAGATACTTATCACATTAAAAAAAAACTTTGCTAAATGTGTCCTTTGCTGTATGATTCTTTACCTCAACAGTTTGTCTGTTACAAATCTATAAAGCTCACAGCTCAAGGCATCAGCAGTGAAACGATTGAATAAAGATGACTACATCCACGACTAAACTCCAGAAGATCTACAACAAGCAGGGTTTCCTCTCACCACTGACTGTGCTGAGCGACACGGAGCTGAGGGAGGCCAAGGAGGCATTTTCTAAGCTGGAGGATGAGTTTGGTATGTAGAATACAGAGAAGGTGTAGGATCCTTGTTAAAAATAAAGTTTATTGACATAAAATGCTTTCTAATTTCTGTACAGCTAAGGTGTATTTTAGATTTTCTATTTTTTTTTTTTTCATTTTGATGCATTTTTCCCCACATAAATAACTTAAAAACATGAAGGTATGTTTTGTTTCTGAATGCCTTCACAGGTAAAGAGTACACTCAGTACAGCCTCCACAATGTTCATCTTCAGTATCCCTGGGTCATGGGCCTGACCAAACACCCCCAAATCCTGCAAGTGATCCAAGCTATCCTGGGCCCAGACATCATCCTGCTGGACTCCCGTTTCATCTGTAAATACCCAGCGCTAAAACCAAGCAACATTCAGGAGGTGAATAAAGGAGAGCAAACCAAGCCTGAGGGAAATGATGGATTTCCATACGTGGCCTGGCACCAAGATTTGAGGTAAATGCAACTTTAAAAGTCAATCATTGTCAATTTGTTTAGCTGAACTGTGGCTGTCTGGTCTGTAGGTACTGGGGAATCACTGGTGGTCCAGTTCTCTCCGTGTGGCTCGCGCTTGATGATTCCCAAAAGGAAAACGGTGTCCTTCAGGTCATCCCAGGTGCTTCAATTAAACCTGTAATTTTTGTGCATGTTTATTGTTTGAATGCTGATTCATCATTCACACAGTTCCCAATTTTTATTTTATCTGTACAATTTTTGCAATCGAACTACTTCCAGATATAAACTATTTTAACCTTTCATACATCACAACATTCAGCTTATTCAGGAAATGGATTAAACAATTTGGATTATGTTAGTTTTATACTTTTAATATATATATGCTTGCAAATGTGTTTTCCTATAAAAATGCATTGGAATTTTTCCATTCCTTCTGAAAACATTGTGCTTTTTGAAATCTGCTTCTGTAAACTTGTTTTAGCAGTTATCCAAACTTGTGCTACTTTTAGCTCATTTTTTCTGCATGAACTATCTTTTCGTTTGTATTTTGCTACTTTTACTGTATGTAGTTTAGTTTAGTTTAGTTTGCACAATTAAAATGCAGATCAAAGATGTAATAATACTAATAATAATAACAAAGCAGGAAGAGGCAGAAGTCCAATGGAATTATATAAAGCCTCCACCCAAATAGTATAGAAAAATAATGCAATCCAAGAAAACAATCAATTGATCAGAACTTTAGGAATACAGTCAGAGAATTAAAAAAAGAACACATCTACAAAGTATTAATGGAAATTTGAATAAAATATATAACAAATAAAAAGTGACAATCACAATCCTTAAGTTAAGTAAAGTTTTAAATACAGTTTAAACTCTTTTACAGAAGGCCTGCCTGTTATCAAGGGAGAAAAATCATTCCAAACTTTTGCTCCAATGTAACAGAGAGAACAGTGCTCTCTATTGGTCTGGTAGACTTTAATCACTTTTAAACTTTAGCTAGCTGTTTGCTATATTACCTTTTAGCTATTCTTTGGCTAATTTGAGCTTTTAGCAACCGTTTTACTTCTTTTGGCTTTTGTTCATCCTGCTTTAATGTCAAAAACTGAGTTTTAGCTTTTTCAGAAACACTATTTTTCTAGTTCATTAGGTCAAAGTCCTGCTCAAACTGTCCCTGCTGGATTTGTCACATGTGTCCTGCAGGTAGTCACTGCTCTGGCATGCTGCCCCATCGCCAAGCCGCCCGCCCTGGAAACATGCTGTCAGTCAACCAGGAGATCCCAGAGGAGCTGGTCCAGGTGGATGAAGCTGTGTTCTGTCCTCTGACAGCTGGACAGATGTCTGTAGGTGTTTTCTTTTTAATTCTAATGAGATCCCTAAACAATCTCAACTCAGTTGAGATGAAATTGTTTTGACAGATTCATGATGGACTTCTTGTCCATGCAAGCGACCCCAACACATCCCAGAGGAGGCGCTGTGGCTTCGTGATCCGTTACGTTCCTACCTGTGCATTCCCCATCCAGGTGGGATTAAAATATATTTTCTGAGCTGTTGGTTGATTCAGAGTGTTTGAGTTTTATTACACATTTTCATGGTTTGTTCATTCTGTCTTTCCTGCTTAGGATCCCGATCGACCCAGAAAGTTTCATGCAACCATGTTGGTTTGTGGGGAAGACCAGTTTAATCATTTCTCAAACGAAACCCCATGAATGATCACTGGAGGCTCAGCGACATTTCCTGCTACGCTTTACATCAGTGTTTAACCAGAATAAATTGTCTTTTGCTTCCCAACCACCAGTCAAATGTATTTAAACTGTCTAGTTCTGCGATAGTTTGGACAATATATTCACTCGTCCTTTAAATGTCAACACGTAAAACTTGCGGTGTTTTAAATTTGGAAAATGGATGTTTTTACAAAGATAAGTGCACTTCTTTATAACAATTTAAATATGTTTGTTAAAGTCATAACTTATGGGATTTTACATGAATTAAAAGTTTTATTAATGCAAGCCTGAAGCATGTTTAGGTGTCCAAAGAATCTTATAAATGCAATCATTACATATTCAACTGTGCAAACAAACTTATGTTCTTGTGGACTGCTACAAAAAAATGTAGTTAGTGAATCTACATGACCTAAAGAAATAGCTCAAATGTCATAAAAATATGGTTCTGTGGAAAGAATAAGAAGAAATAAGAGTCCTACCTGCTGTAGATATTTCTCTGCACACCCTCAAGTTTAAAGAAATGATTATTTCTGGAATGACAAGCTAACAACCAGTGCAGGTCAAGACAGAAATGGATTGTTACTGTACTAAAACTTCAAATACTTCATAACAATTCATGCAAAAATTATATATATATATATATATATAAAAACATACAGTAACATCAGTTTTGCATTACTCTGTTATTTTGGCAAAACCTTTTTGATATTTCTGCTAACATACATCTGGCTGAATTGGAAGTGCTACAGCTAGCTGCCTAATCACAAATCTCTTTAATATTGTTTGTAATTAACTCAGTTGACGAGTATATATTTAACATAAACTGATGTGAGGAAAAGATAGCAGCAATCCATGTTTTATTTGTCTCTGCTTCACCGAGACCAATCTGGTCAAAGTTAAACTCTTACTGCGATTTGAAATTGCTGACAGAGTTAGTTCAATTGTTTTTAACCTTTCTGAAGAACTGCACTTAGAAAGTATGTAGTGTTGATGGCAGCACGGCGGTGCACGGTGGTATAAAAGCCTTGTTATTGAATTTTTTTTTTTTAGAACACACACACACACATAAGAAAAAAAAACGTAAAACAAAATCCCCTCCCACACCGTCTCAGCCACATAGGCATGAACATTTTAAACAGGCATTGACATATATATTTTTAACATAAGGCACGAATGGCTGCCAAGTGTCCCAAACTCTCTTCACAGAATCTTTCAAAGTTTATCTGATCTTTTCCAGATGAACATGATAAATGACCAGTGTTCATATGCTGGGGGATGTGGATCCTTCCATCTGCATTAAATAAGTCTCCTGGCTAGAAGAGAGACAAAAACAATCATTTTCTTATCACATTTTCTGAAGGAGGCATCCACAGGGGCCACCTCAAACGATGAAATGATGATGTTGACAGGTACACAGCTTTTTCACATATCCCAGAGAAGGTATCAGACATAGACAAGTCAAGAATATGTAGCTGGAGTTTGTTTACAATGATTACATGCAGGATCCAGGTCAGTTTTAATCTTGGGACAGCTCTTTGGTCCAGCCGGTGCACCACCTTGAATTGAATGACAGCGTGTCTCCGACAGACTGAGGATGAGTAAATGTGCTGACTGATCTTTTGCCAGACTGAGTCTGATATGGATTCCTTCCAGTTCATTTCCCACTTCATTTTAATGGAGCCCCGATTGGTCTCATGGTATGAACTGAGCAGTGTATAGATCTTGCTGAGGGCCCTGTTAGTATCAGACCTGCACTCCAAAATCTTCACCACAAAATGTTTAGAGGGGTACAAAGGGAAACAATCAGAGTCAGACTTCACAAAATGTCTCAATTGCAGATATCTGAAAAACTGTGACGTTGTGGATATTAAACTTCTGCAGCAGCTGCTCAAAAAAAGAGGCAAACTTATCATGGTACTGTTTTATTCTACATTATTAACAGGTCTGAACAGCCTCTGTGTCGATGTAAGACAAGGCCTGAAGTGTTGTGAAAAACTGGGACATGTCTTGATGAATGCTCTGTGTCAGAATCAATACGAGGGCAGTCAAAACTTAAAGCTTAAACTTAACACTCAAAACTTAAGTTTACACAGAAGGTCTCCTGCTCATGCTGGAGTCAATGCAGCACTGATACATTTCAGTACATGTGAAAAAATAAAATAAATAAAACTTTACAACATTGCTTAAATAAATAATGTTGTCCAAGTTATGACCAAACAAACGTCATATGTTCAGTATAAGTTGGACAACATACATCTTTTATTTGTTCCTTGCATCACCGAACAGAAAAGAAAAACTGCAAAGTTTGTATTTCCAAAAATGTTTTTATTGAAGAGCTCAAAAGTAAAAAAAAAAAAAAAAGCAGTGTAAAATATTTCGAAGAAAAAATTGATATTTAACTTGAAGTTTGTGAGAAAGTTACACATTTCTAGAGGAAATAAATACATTTACACAAAAAGATTCCTATTAGGCCAGTTTGAGTGTCTCTTTAACCAGGACACCAAATCCATGGCCATGATTACTGACCCGCCCCACCCCCCCCCCCCCCCACACACACACACACATTCTGTTTGTGTGTGTCTATATCACCTGACCAGGAAGAAGCAAAGAACAAAAAAAAAACCATGACTAATTTGAGAAAACTACAAGTTTAACAAGATGTCACTCACGTATGTGTCCAGCCTGATTTACTGGAAGAAAGTTGACAAATGATGTTTCTAAAAAGTGTGTTTGAGCATCGTGAACTTTTGTACATGTGGGTGTTTCAGTTTTTCAACATGTGTCTTTGTTGTTTCCTCACACGTTTCCAGGGTGTTCATCATCAAGTCATTTACTCTGCAAAACATTAAGCATGTGCTTCATTTTTTTAATTTTAGTCTTTAATTAAACTGAAGAGTTTTTAAATGTAAAATATGATTTCACTGAACAGTTAGTTTTCATTCAACCTTTATCTAGACAGGTTAATCCCATTGAGCCTCGGGGACTCGTTTGCAAGAGAGACCTGATTTCTTAACGAGTGATGACAACGACAACAATAGACAATTGTAGGTTCAGTTAATGTGTGGATTTATCAGCTAAAAGAGTATGAATTAAAGTGATTAAGACCAACAATTAATTTATTAGGTTTTTTTTGGTTTGTTTTTTTGTTTTTACAAAAGATAAATGAAGATATAGGCAACTCTTTATTTGGTTGTTTGTTTGTTTGGAGGGTGTCTAATGAAATATGCCAAATTTTGATGATTCTATTTTCACCTTTCCTTTGTTAATGAGTAAAATGCTTCTATTTTTCACTGCAAGAACTTTAAAGGAAAATCATAAATGGTAAAAAAAAAAAAAAAAAAAAAATTTGTAGCCATGAAGTTTTTTTTTTTAATTTCTAACAGCAAACATACAGTGGTGCTTGAAAGTTTGTGAATCCAATGGAATTGTCTATATTTCTACATAAATATGACCTAACCATCATCAGATTTTCACAAAAGTCCTAAAAGTAGATAAAGAGAACCCAGTTAAACAAATGAGACAAAAACATTATACTTGGTCATTTATTTATTGAGGAAAATGATCCAATATTACGTATTTGTGAGTGGTAAAAGTATGTGAACCTTTACTTTCAGTATCTGCTGTGTCTTATCTGTCCACAAAACATTCTTCCAACAGCCAACACAGTTCATGCTCAATAATCCAGGTAAACAATCCAACAATTTTCAGTCTGGTCATCTGGACAGTTTCTTTCTTTTTTTTTTTTTGTGCTGAAACGTTTCACCTTCCATCTAGAATTAGCTCCAGTTGAAGAAGCCTTCTACTGTAGATGGAAGGTGAAACGTTTCAGCACAAAAAAAGAAACTGTCCAGAGGACCTGACTGAAAATTGTTGGATTCTTCCAACAGCCTTCTGGCTTGTCCACGTGATCTTTAATAAACTGCAGACGAGTATCTTTGGAGAGCAGTAACTTTCTCCTGCAACCCTGCCATTGTTGTTCAAACTGTTAACATTTATTTATCGTGATAGTAGTTTCTTTTTTTCTTTTGATAAATGTAAATGCTTATTGTCAATTACCCTGTGACGTGTGCTGATGACCACTTGACCAGGTCACCCTTGTGAAAGAGATCTCGATCTCAACGGGCTCTACCTGGTAAAATAAAGGTGATTGATTGATTGATTGTTCAGTGTTCTCCTGATGGTGAACTCATGAACATGAACATTAGTCAATGTGAGAGAGACCTTCAGTTGTTAGAAGTTACCCTGGGGTCCTCTGTGACTTCGTCAAGTAGTGATCTTTGTTGGTCCACCACTCCTGGGGAGGGTAACAATTTCCTCCATTTGTACACAACCTGTCTGACTGTGGATTAGTGGAGTCCAAACTCTTCAAAAACATTGTTTTTAACCTTTTCCAGCTTGATGAGCATCAACAACTCTTTTTCAGAGTTCCTCAGAAATCTCCTTTGTTCCTACCATGATACACTTCCACAAACATGTCGTGAAGATCAGACTTTAATAGATCCTGTTCTTTAAATCAAACATGGTGCCCACTCACACCTGATCATCATCCCATTTATTGAAAATACCTGACTCTTAATTTCACCTTAAAACTAACTTCTAATCTTTGAGGTTCACATAATTTTGCCACTCACAGATATGTAAGATTGGATCATTTTCCTCAATAAATAAATAAATAAATAAATAAATAAATAAGCATGTTTTTTTTGTCTAATGTGTTTAACTGGGTTCTCTTTGTAAACTTTGAGGACTTGTGTGAAAGGCTAATGATGGTTTAGGTCATATTTATGCATAAATATAGAACATTCTAAAGGCTTCACAAACTTTCAAGCACCTCTGTATAACATCACACTAAAAATACACATTTATTAATTATCATGGCATACTTGTTTAAATAAGAAAAAGAAAATAAACACTGAAATTACTTGTCTATGACACAGAAACATGCTTTAGAGAATTAACTACCAGCAAGAACAAAAGTTCACTTA